TCGTGTGAACAAAAGACTACTGCGCTTATTCAAGGATAAACAATTTCGCAAATCTCCCGATCGGAAGAAAGAGGATCGAGTTAAGAATGCGGAACGTGTCCATTAACGACTGAAATAACAGTTATTTAACATAGGGCGGTGCGTCCGGCGTGCGCCTACGGCGGCGTGCGAGCGGTAAGCGGCGAGCGGCGACGCGGAGCCGCCGCGGCGGGGCGCGATGCACTGAGTCGCGGTGGACTTGCAGAAATTTGCAGCGTCGCCGCCCTTGACGGGGGCGTTGCTCCGAGCCAGGGACGGACACCGAGCTGCGCACGCGACGCTCCCCCGCATCCCACCGCGCAGCACCCTGACCCCTTCGTCCTCCTCCCACGGTCAAAAAACCTCACGAGCTAATATCCAACCTCTACACATTGACCTATCTCTCTTCATAACTAGGCACATAATGGAAAAATCCCAGCTACGAAACCGAAAACCATAAGCCTTTACTAAAAAACTTTAACGATAACTTTGATCACTAAAAATTTCGATCGGTAAATCTAAGTTATTTTTAGCGAGGAGGCGTTCGTCGGAGGGCGGCGACCGTGAACGTTTGCGCGAGACGGCGCTCGCGCACACCACAGATGTCAGGGTCGCGGCGCCCCTTGGTTGCATATCGCGCTTCACTTCCGTCGCAACGAAAGTCATTTTTAATACCTAAAAACCTGTAGTCTAAAACTATGATTTCGTTAACGTACTCTCATTCATTGTTGTTAAAAGAAATCAAATTAAATATATGAAAGAATACGCCATGCTGGAGCGAGGTGACGTCGTCGTGACCACGGGAAGCTGGAATGCTGCCTGTGCCCTCCGCCGTCGCCCCTCGCAATCCGGACGCGGCCTTTAAACCGCTCCAACGTGTTTGCAAAGTTGTTTGCACATTTTTTTACATTCCCGTACTTTTATTACGGCGTCATAATTGTAGGTAGAGAGGTATACACCTACAAATTATATGCATTCCATTCTTATAATTTTTTTTATAATTATAAAACTGGAACATTATAAGCTAGCCGTATATTTTATAGATAGAAATAAGCCATTCATAGCTCACTGCGGAATATTGTCCTTTATCTAATTAGTTTTATGTGAAATAATAGAGATGTAATAGAGAATAAGTAGTTTACATGGTAAAAACTGTATTCTCTTATTAAAGAACAGACATTGAGAATGCTTTAAAAACACAAATTTAAAGACTTTAAGACTATTAATATTCTTTTGTAACATAAGTTTATTATACCAATTTAGTAGTTTATTTGTAGAGTTGTCTCATATTAAATTAATGTCATTATTTTTTCTTTCTTTTCGCTATCAATCAGGAAGTCTTTTAAAAAATGAACAGACAGATACATCCTTGGTTCCTTGAATAATTGGATTCCAACAGCGAAACTTCAAAATAGATAAGTGAAAGAAAGTGCAATCGATTTCACTTTCAAAACTAAATTAACTTTCTCCAGTGACACGTCTTACGTAATTTCTACAAGACAAGACAGTCATAACCGCAACATTTGTACCTCGCAAAGGTCGTCGGGCAGCTTTTAATAATTCAAAACATTTCAATGTTTGTTGTTACATAATGTATTACTTGCCAATTTCAAATATAACAGGCTTCCCACTATTTAGGCGCAGCATTGTTCTGCCGTAAGAATGGTAGGAAGAAACTGAATTTTAATTAATGAAATTTATTTAATTCTTTCATTAAGAGATTTCTTTAAGTGTGAGGCAAACATTGTACATCAACAAAAGCTTTTTTTAAATAACTACTTTTTACTTTGATTTTATTTAATGAACGCTGCGTTGCTTGCATGCCTGAATTGAAGCATATAAAATAATATTTCTGATATGGCATTTTTAAGTAAAATGCACACTGTGAAAAAGAAAGTAATGGAATTCAATAACATCATAACTCCTTTCATTCAACCGCTCCATTAAGAACAACCTTATGCCTTCCTTCTTTAAACATACAATCCTCATCCTGCTTAATATATTTTTTATTATGTCCGCGAAGGAAATTCCAAGACGTTCAACTTAAATGGCAACCGGATAAGTTAAAGCCCATCAAAGTGTTTTTAAGTTCAAATAACAACATAATTCCAAGGTTTTTCTTTGAAGCGAAATTACTTTTAATCTGTAACGTAAATTATTTTTCCTTTTGCAAAAATAAAAAATATACAATTTCTTTTAATGATGCTTGATTTTTATAGACATACCATCAGTATGTACATTTTATAGACTATAAATACTGAAAAAACCTATGAATACAATTGAAACTACGAAATACACCGAATGTATAATAAATATATGTACATGCAAAGAATACTGCAGAATTATGATAAGTATTAATTGCTCAAATAAAATTGTGAATGTATAAAGTATCAGCAATTAAGTTAATTCATAAAGCAAGTGTTTTGAATTGCAGCGGAACCTACTGTGGCGGCATCGCATGCAAAATGGTGGGTGAACAATGAAAGCTGATGGGCAGGTCGTGGTCGCCGGCGCTTAATGACCGCGCGCCGGGATGCCTGCCTTACTTTCCTCGCGGGAATTCGTTTTAAAGTTACTTTATTATTGCAATAATTCATTTCAAGCGATATGAAATTCCACTCTCTAAACAGCCTGCAGTAAACTTTACTACACGCGTAATATTGACTATATTTTCCCGGTAATGGAAATTAATGCCAGACTTTACATACGACATTATTGTAGTACCATTTTTACAAATTTACTCGTGCTAAGATTAAACATTTCTAAGGTTCGAATAGATATAATTTGTGCCACATGTTTAACGAAAAAGTTAAATATCGCATGCGAGAGGCTTCACTTTATAAAAAGCGTTGGCATTCCAACAATGCAGTTCAAGCCTTGCACCGAAACTGCATTACACCATGTGCAAAGAATGAGCAGGTGCAAATAAAAAGGGGCAGCGCCCGCGCAAGAGGCACTTTCTCAACTCCAACAGTCAGGGTTTTAACATTAGCAAGAAATATACGCACATAATATGAAAATAACAGGATTCCGATAAATTTTAAATTTCTCTATGGGTTCAATAACATCGACTATTAAGAAATTTACATAAACATATCTTGCAACGATTATGTTTTACTAATGTATTCGCGGAACAAGTTTGAGAGGCGTGGCAAGAGTAGTGTTAGTTTGCCACGAAATATACCTACGCAACAAAAATTTTATATTCTATCACTTGAATATTTAAAATACTCAGACGATAGAACATTTAACTAAACTTCCATATTACTTACTAGTTATATTCTGTAAGAGTTTGATCGTATACATTAGACTATAACGCCATAAGGTAGGTATAGAGACTTTGTACAAAAGTCTCTTGCTTGGGTACCTCTGTCCCACTTGTGTTTCTACCATGAAACTGTTGTGCTTGTATGGCTGTGTTTCGGTTTGAAAAATGGGATATGGCAGTGAATTTATAGGATTTCAAGCGATATGAATACAGAGTGTACATAGGAATAACACCTTAGTCATCTGGAATGGCAACGTATGGGGAGTATTATGGGCGAAACAGTATACTTTGTTGGGTCCATGGTACTGCTCATGTCTATAGGCGACAGATTACCACTTTCCATTAGGTGGTCCGTCAGCTTGTTTGCCATTCTAAGTTGCATAAAAAAGCATATTAATCCAGATGATCTGTATAAGAAATTTCATTCAAATCTGTCCAACAGTTCATTCGCTCATAAGAAAATGATTAAAAACATTATTGTAAGTCTTGGATTATCATTCTCCTAACCACAAAATATCACTGAGGTTGATAGAAGACCAATATCTTAGAATAATATTACGATTACATAAATTACTCATGTGCCCACAGAACCACAATACAAATGAAGTAAAAATGGTTTATAACATAATTTCTCATAGGTGAATAGTAGACATGTAAAATATTTATTTATAATTTTATTTTACACTTTATTGCACCAAGTAATAGTCAAACGTAAAATAGTCAAACTGTTTAAATTATAGATCATTTAAACATGTAATTTATATTTATAGTAAGTAAAAATATATTACTGAACAACAACGTATTGAAAATTTCCATCAAACATTAACCTACATATACGCCTTAATCATAAAAAATCCTGAGCTATCCAAGTTTCAAGAAGCATAATAAATAGGCCAATTTTTTGTCCTATAAAGACCTAAAACACTTATAACGTTTTGTTAAACAATAATAAACTTCTTTAATATAGGAGAAGTTTATTTCCTAGTTTAATAACACAATATGATAAACATATTTTAATTATAGAATTATTTAAAAACTAATTTGTGGAAAGAGATTTTAAGCCATATTTGATATTTGATTTACTGAGATAATTATACAAAAAGACCGATTTATAAACTTTTTTTTTATTTATCTTATCTTTATTTTCTCATTTTCCTTTTAAACTTAATTTTGCTGGTTTCTCTATATGAGTCCTATATAGTATCATTTGCTCTTCTAATATAGTAATTTTGTTTGATATAGTAATATTTATGTATGATATTATATTTATTTAATTATATATTTATAATATATGAATATATTAAGTATAAATTTTTATATTTCTTCAATTCAATAATGCACCGTTCACTTATTTAGAGTTTGGTAGAGAAAACCGTCCGATGTTAAATGCGCTATATGTACATAGTTTCACTGTGCATAAAAGATTAAATTAATTAATTAATTATAAGTTTTATAATTAATTAATTTATTATATTAATAAATAAACAAATTTTAGTAAAATATTTACATCAATTTAGTACAGAATAAATGAATCTGAATCATTGTCTCCCACAGGCATATTAACACCTTAGATTAGTACATTGCCCATGCGCAATGCGTGCGGCACGTGCACACGATTATACATTCATATCACCACACTCAATCACCATTCTAAATCAAACATAGACCATACATAAGCAACAAATTACATAATAACTATAACCATTTTACTTACCCTCCCAAAAGTTCCTTTCGTATGATGATTTTCGATCTTTCGTTTCGTTTTCACTCACGATTGGTTTCCTGTAATGAAATAATTTCTTTTTATAATCAACAGCATCACCAAAAATTTGTTTTCTAAGGCAATAAATAATTCGTTATAAAAAGATATGGTATTATTTATCACTATGCCGAAAAACCATTCAAGGAAAGAAATTGCTGTCAATTCTTCAATCATTTATTGGAACATTAAATATAAATTATAGTGCAATCCTCGTACTAAGGTGAGAAAAATGTCGAGACATTTTGGAGTAAGTCATTTCACAGTGCAGCGTATTGTGAAGATGACCTTAATTTAACCGGAGGTATACGAGCTGTGAAAAGCATTTTAACTTACATCTAACGGTTAAAAATTAAAATTTCATTTGCAAACGTTTATTTCGCTTATATGATTATTATGAAATAAATAGAGTGTTGTCTTCTACACATTGTATTTAATATTTGAATAATTAATACTTTTTTAATTATGATTTTATTCACTTTTTCCTGGCACTAGCCTGGAAGTTTACTAGTATAAAACGTTTATATTTCAATTCGTTTATTGTATAAGACTTTTATACATAAGTATATTAAACAGTTTATACTCATTCTCAATTATCATTTCTTTTTTTTTTTGAAAAAAGAAATTCGGCTTTCTTAGCTTTTTAAAAAAATCCATCTAAATAAATGCATGCTTTCATCGAGTATTTTTCCAGACATTATTTATTTATTCTTCACACTCCCCACCACACTGTGACATCAACTTCCAGCAGAAACAGATAACTCCTAACAGATAATAAGATATTTAAACTTTAAGAAGAGAGCATCCACATTATTATAACTTTCGGAAGCCGAAAGCACATTTAGTTTTTATCCATCGTTATGAATGCTCATAGGTGTCAGCAGTCTCTTATCGTCTCTAAATATAAGTATGTACATAATATACTATCCTACTGTATTTTGGCCCAAGATACCGTTAGAAAAATATTATAGAGGCAAATCTTCTATGAGTATATTTTAGCCAAGTAACACTATTAAATTTCCTTTTGTCAACCGTATCACGATGTCAATAAAATAATGGTTTACCAAATGGGTGAATGAATACTGTCTCGTTCAAAAACCAATCAAGAGCTTGTTATATTGAAAGTAACTATCACATGTCGCACAAATAAACTCAGAAAAACGGTCGTTGGGTCAAATATTTATAAAAAAATAAGAAGTATAGTATATGCCTACTGTTTTTTATTAATATGTACTCCTATGTAAAGTTTTTATTTTTATGGGATATTTTGCAACATTAGAATGAGTTTATTTCAATCATGACCATTTTTATTTTAGAATATCACTGTAAATTCTTATAAAATTGATATATTAAATTAAAAAACAAAATTTAAACGCTATTGATGTAATAGGTAGGTACTATTTTAATTGTATAAAGATAAAACAAATTAATTGACCTTTAGCTAATCGAAGTATGGCAAGTCACAGTTATCTGTCAATTTACAAAAACAATTGAACATTTTTCAATATTTTCTATTGATTATTTAAAAAGATCTCTGCTGACGAACCTTCACTTATGCATACAATAATATTCTTATAAAACTGTCACTAAAATATTAGATTTTGACGGCGAAAATGTTACGGAAAAATTCCGAAGTAAAATATGAAGAGGTACAAAGGTTTTAGTGATACATTTTAGTTCGCAAGCAGAGCACTTTTAAAATAATCAATCAAAAATATTAAATTGCTTATGAAAATTTACAGGTAATTGCGACGTTGCTATACTTCATTATACATACTCTTAAATAATATACGATGATATAGTGATATTATATATTGTAGATTCGCATATCTATGAATTGTATATTTATTTCGTTTAATTATATGTATTATATTTCAAATAAATAAATCCAAAAATAGGTCGTTGAATGCCTTTATCAAAATATCAGGGCCCGTCAACTGCCAGGTAGTCATAACTTGATTCAGAATGCTAACGATTTTCGACTCGAAACTACTCCAAACATTTAATACTAAGATTTCCCGACAACTCTGTCAACTTTGTAGATATAAAAGAAATTATTATCTATGATGGTCAATCCGTACAAGTAATTACAGATTTTTTAAATTTAGTGGATACATGTAAAATAATTAATATAAATAAAATTTAATAATTTCACGAATTTCCTATTTTAAGAGCTGTCTTTAACTGTGTTTATAATAATTTTGATTTAAATCTATTAGCAATTTAGTTCACAATGGTTTTTAAAACAAAGATTACGCTCTAATATCAAATTGGAATCTTCGATCAAGTTCGATCCCCACTCAATATACCTATAAACAATAATATTCATTAGGATTTTATTGCTTAAGATTTTTTATAAATATATTTTTCATATAATGCATGCATGCATTTATAAAAAATCCACATTGCATTATTCAATAATTTACTTGTCCTCAATTAAACTTACAATACTTTGGCATGTACAAGACAAAGTTACATCTAAAACTTTCCACAGGCACATATCGATGGAAGTCGACTGTCTCTTGCACATATATACAGCATTTCTGATCATAAAAACGCTGCTCCGCGAAAGGCAAGTTGCAACCTAGACCAGGCAAACCGCATCGTGACTCCCCCCGAGCCTCGGACCGCTTTCCTCGACTCGAACGAGGCAAGAGGCGCGGCGCCATGCGAACCTGCGCCCGTCACTTTCCGGAAAACCTTCACGTAACTATTTTGTTACATCGTGCCACTAGATCACATACACCTTTAGAAGAACCTGTTCTTATAACCTAATAAATCTATAAGTAGGTATTTACTGCTTTTACAACTCTGTACCAGTGATATTAATTTAATTCCTTGACTCTACTTTCAACTGTATGCTGCATATCTATATGATTTTGATTTTAAATTAGATAATTTTATTTTCCTAGACATATAAATTATATTAAAGACCTAAATAACCTTTACCCAAATATTTATGAATCTAAATAATGGTACTTTTAAATGTATCTTCCTCTGCTTGTGTTCCTATTGGAAATTTGGAAAGGCTTTTCTAATATTTTACCCACAAACGGAGGATATCCCAGTATTTAATTATAACTTTTACAGTTATCAATTTAACGTATCATTACTATTATCTATATACAAAAGAAACGATCGTCGAATACTCCAATTTTTATGTAGCTGATGGCCCAACTGATGGAAAGTAGCAACGTCGCCTGTAGACTTAAGTAACATTATGGACATTTCAAAATACATTGTAATAGCCATAGTATCTAGCTCTTTATACATTTTACTTTTTTACATTTCCGATCGTCGCTCCATCTAATGGGAGGTCGTCCTACACTGCGTTTGCCTGTACGGCGACGTCACACAAGATCCTTTCTTCTCCATCGGTTGTCGGTTTTTTCGAGTTATGTCACTGGCAACACGCGCTAGTTAAAGATCTTCGTCTTAAAACTTTGAGGTATTTTGGATCGTTTGTTCTATTAAAAAGAGAATAGAATAATGTTTAATTTCTAAGAGTTTACGCCCTGCAATGTGCTCTAAAGTATTTAAGCAGTATTAAATCATTGCGTAATCATATTTTATTTTCATATTTTTCTTATTATTTTATTATCTTACAACAATTATTAATGCTTAAAAAAGAAGCTAGATAATCTTAAAATGGAATATCTATGTCACTTGTATCCTAATATAAAAAAATACGTACAAATATTCTGTAGAGAGCAATTAGTCTACACAATAGAACACGATAAGTGTCTGTTTATGTAAAATGACCTACTTACGTCTGTTTTAGGTTTTATGATTTCACTGCAAAACTTGGCAATCGTTATACCTATACTCGTCGTGACCGCATATCTTTTACAGCCTAGGTATGCAAAAAGTAGGTGTGCCGAATGTCAAACGTTCACCGTCACTGTAATTTGTAGGCTATACTCGTATTATCCTTCTAATAAAATATGTAACGATTTGTCTCGTAGTGCAAAACTTACACGATCCAAAACAAAAAAAGAAATTGTTTCTTTACTGGAAATAAAAAAAATAGAACTCACATTCATTTATTATTTTATATATATATTTATTATTCAGAATTACTAATAATCTGACAGCTCACGTGATCGAAAATGGCAATATTTGCCTTTACATTCAAACTCAATCAAATACTGTGACGTCCATAGGACCCTCACACTTAGGTATCTCCACTGTCTTTTCATATTACGTCTATCGTAACCGAAAATGTTCACCCCAATATAAAAATACAGTATCATGATATTAGGAAAAAAAATTAGAAAAAGGTTGCTGACTTTTCTCGGAAAACAAAGAGATTATCTAATCTCAGACTTTTAGATATAAATAATGCACGAATGAAAAGGACTGGGAAATTAAGATTTCCCTAAATCAAATAAGCAAAATATTTATCTACATAAACTATAACCTCTTTATAAAAAGAAATCCTCTTAAATAAACCTGTTCTAGAAACTCAAAATTATATATTCATTATTATTATTTCTATTTTGTAATAAAATAATATAATAACAATAGATTTTCTTTGAAATTGTATTGCCCGTTATCTTCGTCAAAAAGCCACACTTTCGAAATACTCATCATACAATGACACAATTTCAATAAACAATAACTATTTTTAGCGTGAAATATCTGTAATAGGTATGTATATATATATATATATATATATATATATATATACTTATCTAAATATTGTCTTATTAAAGAAAGTTTGAGCTTTCAATAATTATATATGCCGTTTACATCATTAACCAAACGGAAACCGAAAATGCTACTCAAAACAGTCTTCTGTCGTATAAAGAAGACATGATAGATAATAAAAATAACTGGTTTTGCTTAAAACTGGCTTCCCGCGTAGGAATTGTATCTTTAGACATTGATAATATAAAAATAAAATACTAGTTTTAAGAAATACGTGTTACTCTAAGGCCAAGCCCAGTTTCTAAAGCTATTCCCATTTTCTCGAAACGTAACTTTACTATTTATAAGACAATGATATCTAGTTTAAAGTATA